CCCGCCGGCACACTCCGGGCGGTAGGACCGACTAGGCTGCTAGTGCGCAGGCGCATCAGTAATATACCCGCGCGGGGTGCAACAGAGGAGCAATCGTTAGACCCTGAACTACATATCCCAGGAGGCCTTGCGGCGCGCATGCGCATAAGAGGCCATGTCAAGGGGCGGTAACCGCAGCAAGTCCCGCCTGGTCCTGGACTCCTAGTGGATTTTCGCGGCTTCTGGCTTGCTAGAGGTAGCCGACTCCGCACTCCCGTCGTCAACCCATTTTCTAGCTGAGCGGAGCGAGGTGGCGGCGCCGAGCCAGGTCCCACCATGGCGGCAAATGTGAGTGTCCCCTGTCTGCCGGGCCACACCCAGACTTCCCCATCACCGGGCCTTCCCGCGAGGGGCCGCCTAGGTCCACTTCGTCCATGCGGCCGGCCCTCACCTCTCTCTGCACGCCTGCGTTTCTGCCTTTCACAGCCCTTCGCCTGGCCTCTCTCAACCTGCGCCCCAGGTCCCCCTGTGCAGTTCTCGGGCCCGCCTGGTCCCCGGGTCGCGCTGAGCCGAGGGGGAGGTTCAGGGGGCGTTGCTCTCCGCAGTGCGATCTTGCGCGCCGCGCTTTCCCGTGCCCCCGTCTTGCATTCCCAGTTCCCGCCCGGGCCCCTGGGGTTCTAAAACTTTCGGAATCTGAGAGCAGGGCGGGGCCCCAGAGGAAGCCATCAGGTCAGGAGGTGGGGAAGCCGATGCTGCTCCAGTGGAGCTGTCCGGCCCTGGACAGATGGGGCTCCGGTAGGCGCAGGTGAGCCCCCCACCATGGGGAGTATGCACACCCTAACCGTGATGCTGCGGAGGGGCTTGGTTGGTCTGGAGGCCAAAGAGTTAAGGTTATGGTCCGAGGAAGCGCTTCGCTAATGCTGGGCCCCTCCCTTGCCTAGCTCAGGTTTGTTTAGAGAAGGGCTGGCGTCAAGGCCTTTTCTCCTTGCAACTAGCTTTTCTGGGGAACTTTGTTTAAGCCCAACATTCATTCGACAAACCCAGCAGCACCTCCTCCCCCGGTGCTGGGTGTGGGAGAGGTGGTGACTCACCCTTCCCCTCCTCCGTGAAAGCTGCTCTGGAGCCAGTTGGGATACCCTGCCAGGGCCAGACACACCCTCCTGCATGCTTTGGTCCAGTGTCCTAGCCAACCTTCTCTGGCCTGTCACACCCTCCCAGGTCCCCCTCTGTCCCCAGGAGTCCTCTCTGCCTCCCACGCCGCAGGAGAGGCAAGGATTTGTGTCACTCACCAGCTAGAACGCCTAGCCCAGTACGCTTCTAAGACCTTGGGGACCTAGAAGCCTTGAGTGACGCACCCACAAAGGCCTCAGAGATGGTCCTTGAGACTCAGGGTCTGCCAGGGGAGACCAGCCGGTCCCCAGCAGGTGGACTCCTGTCTGCTGTCATCACCTCCGCCACCATATTTTACCCATGAGGCCTCGGTAAAGCCGGTTTGGCATGCTACGACGTAGAAAGGTGCTGAAGAGTCAGGCAGACCTGGGGGCAAATCCAGATTCACCCACTCGGTAGCTGTGTGGCCTTCATGTCTCCAGGTTTACATCCGCTCGAGGGATCAGGTACTGTGAGGGAAACACTTACATAAGCCATCAGGCCACGGGAGGAAAAAGATCTGAAGCGAGGGACCAGCAGTTAGCGTAATGGCCATGTCGCTGGGCTCCCATGTAGTTGACCATGGTTCGAGTCCCGGACCCGGTGGCTTAAAACTCACGCCGGGTGCGTGTGCATGTGTGCCCAAGATCCCGAGAGGAGAATGGAGGAGAAGGGATTGTGGCGTGGCCATCCCCACCAGGGGTGATTTCTCACTTTCTGTCTTTCTGGCGAGTGCACATACCTATAGCAAAAACCTCTCCGAAAGAAAAAAATCAAACAAACAAACAAAAAAAGATCTGAAGTGAGTGGGGAGGAACGGGTAGGCGGAGTTTGTCTGTTTGTGGCTATGACTCGACCATCCTGCTGTCTTCCAGCCTGGGAGGGCCTGGCACAGCTCCTGGGAGACTCAGCCACTAATCGTTACATGTAACGTGGGTGAAATAGTTCAACAGTATCTTAAAAAAGGTAAACATGCATTTCCCCCTGACCCCGCAGTTCCACTGAGGCACCTACCCAGGGGAAGTGAGGGCACATGTCCACGTAATGACTCACACGTGGGTGTCATGGAGGCATTGTTCGTAACAGCAAAAGCTGAGAACGACCAGGGTGTCCATCCACTGGTGACTGAACCAACAGACGGTTTACTCATAACTGGAACACTACACAGCCATGAAAAGGAAGGAATTTTTTTTTTTTT